CACCGATCGGAGACGAAATGCTGCCGAAACTAGGTTGGCTCTGCAGGCTGTGAGCGCTGTGCTGATGGTGAAGACCGGGAACACCACCTGGACCCTGACTTTGCAATCTAGTGATGGCCTGCTGCCGCATCATGTAGTCCCGCTGCTGAGCCATGGCCTGCTGCTCCTCCTGCTTTCTGCGCTCGAGGTTGTTCTGCTCCTCCGCAGTTAGAGTTCTGCCAAAACTAGGGAAGACACCACTGAGAGGCGGGATGACACCGGTGCTGCCGCTGGGAGAAAAGGGCCCGGCTTGGGTGGGAGGACCGTGAGGAATGCCAATTTGAGGGACAAGGAACGGCTCTCTGGAGTTTCCAATTCTACGGATGAGCTGTCCAAGTGGCTCAAAGTCCACATCTTCGACCTTCTTCACGCGAAGATCGGGCGTGAAGAAGTTGGCTTTGTACCAGTCATTCATCTCCAAGCCGCTGAAAGGTCCCTGGATGTTTTGCTGAGGGTCGAGATAAACCCATCTCATTCGATCAGGCATAACCATGGTACGCTGAGCACCGTAGTCAGCACCGGTGGAAGCCCCGGGAGTAAACGACTGTGGGTGTCCTACGCCGACCGCTACGGCGTGAGAGAGGTCTGCGCCACCGAAGCCGCTGTGCGTGCGAGCCGGGTCAGAAGGGAACATCTCCTCGAAGATGCCGCCGCGGCCACTGCGCATGGGACTACCAGTTTCGCGTGGTTGGGCGGAGAAGTTGCTGCGGCCAATAGCGCCCAAGGGGTTGGCTTGGCGCAAGTCGGGGAGGGAGTCACTCAAATTCTCCTGCTCGTGGCTTTGCATCTGAGCCTGCATGGCGGGTGGGAAAAGTGAGCCCAGCTTGCTACGGCCGATAGTCCCAGCTCCTCCAAGGCCGCCGGCGCTGGCGGGCCCAAAGACCCCGGCATTGATGCCTGCCAAGCCTGGAGACTGAAGTTCAGTACCCATGGGGCTAAACAACGAGTTACCAAAGACTCCTCCAAAGCCACCGCGCTCCCGGTCAGGGGTGCCAGTTGAGAGGGGAACAGGCCAACCAGAGCCGTAGCCGCGAGGCCCAGCGCTACTTGTCTGGCTGCGATCGCTGCCGTCGAGAGCATGACTGGGGAAGGCGCGCAGCGAGTTGAAGCCAGGGTTCTGCTCCCCGCCGATAGGCGCACCGTGTTGCTTGTCAGCGCCGGTGTCATCGTGAGATTCACCGCGCTCGGCGGGAGGGCTGCGATATGGGTTGGTCTCGGCAGGACTTTGGGGACCGGGCTCCTGCTCCGAGTGTCGACCAAGGTTCAAACCAGACATGCCGAAATCGCCAGTCGAGCCCTTGACGGGCGTCTCAAACATCCCGATGTTGCTCTGGTTGGGGACCGCTGGGGGGCTCGTGTCTTGTGCACCACCCAGGGCTGCGCTGCCGGATAGGCCGTCGTCGCCTCCGAAGGGGTCAGTATCGGTGCGAGGGCGTGAGCGCCAGGATTGGGTATCGGAGGCGGAGGCTTCGTTCGGTTTGGCGGAGCTGTCAGGACCGTCTTTGTTGATTAGGTTAGCGAAGCGACTTCCACCGCGAGCGCCGGAACCGATGGTAGAGGTCGGCGTCGGCATTGCAAATTGGCCAAAGGCACCGCCACCGCCCGCACCACCAGCAGACGTCTGGCCAGGATTGTTCCAGAGAGAGCTGATATTGGCGCCCATCGAGGGAGCGCCAGCCGTGTTGCTCCGGGTCAGACCGCCGAATGGTGGGGCCTTGGCCTGGGACCGGGCTGGGCTCTCAACCTCGTCCGGCTCCTGCTCCGTCACATCATTCTTACGCCCAAACAAGAACTGATCGTCGCCACGGGCCCCGAATCGCGCTGCACTCGGGGACGCAAGGGCGCCACCGCCGAAGGGGTTCGAGTCTGTCGTCTCGCGGCGTCGGGTGCCCGGTCTCGAAGCGGAAACTGGAGAAGAAAGACCGTATCCAGCGGCGCTGCCGTGCGACAGAGACGCTTTCCGACCGTTGGTTCCAGGCGCTTGGTTTGCTTCCTTGTTTTGGATGGGCGGCTTCAGAGGAGAATTGACGTCGGATGCGAATGCCTGCCTCATATTAGTATCCATGGCGTGGTTGCCAGTGCCGTCATGCCAGCGCACCTTTTCCTCCTCGTCCGTCAAGCCGTTCACTCCTACAGGGTGGCCGTCACCACGGGGGTTCCAGCAGGCTGAGGGATCTTGAGAGTTATGGCTGTTATTGCTCTTGCCCCAACCCCGCGCAGCGCTTCCGTTTGTGTGTCCCGGAGTCCATCCCGGTTCTATCACGACAGAAGGGTCCGCGTCCGCCGTGCCGTTCCTGTACAAGCCCAGGATTGACTCCTTCTGGTACTGTGACGAGATCGGGTAGTCGTAGCTGGCGGCTCCGGGGGTCTGGGGGATCGCGCCTGTGTCGGCGTTTGACGCGGCGAAGGCGTGTTCGGATGAGGCAGCGGGTTGGGAGGCTTGGCCGGGGGTCGTCGAGGGGCGGCGGAAGGTCAGCGTGCCGTTTCTGGCATCACGTCGAGCCCTGCATCGCGTGTTAGTACCTTGTGAATGCGTGGCTTGGGTGCAGTGTTGGTTAGCGGCGAGGCCGGGGACAGCAGGGTTGTGCAGGAGTGCTGTGACGTTGCGGCAAGGCTGAGAGGATGGAGCAGACTCCACACCGGCCGAGCAACCAACGCACGCAGCTAGCGTGCAGAAAGGGAAAAGATGCGACATCGTCACGACGACAGGCCGAGTAGAAAGTCTGCGGCAAAACGAAAAATGCGCGGTGGGTAGGGCAAACAAGCGACCAAGTGGGAAGAGGAGCAGAGAGAAGAGGTGGAGGAGGGGGCAACTGACCATTCCCCGCTGCCCGAACCGCGGTCGCTGCGTCCCGCTCTCGCATTTGCGTTCTGACCGGCGGCGGCGGAGGCGAAGCTTGATGGTAGATTCGAAGGCATGGCTGATGTTGGTGTTGCGCAAAAAAATAGGGGGATTGAAGGTGTTTGCTGGCGTTGAGCAAGGGCCGGGGGGTTGCAGCAACAACGCGCAGGTTGTGGTTGTGGAATTTTTTTTTTCTGGGTTGGGGGTTTCGGGAGTTGGTCTGATTCGACTCTGGTCGCTTCCGTGGACAAGGCACGAAAGGGAACGGATGCAGTTGGATTGGTGTGTGTTTGTGTGTCGCGCGCGACGTTTCGTTGGAGATGGATACACAGAGGTGATCGGTGTTGTGATACAGATAGCTGATGAAGGCTTGCTAAACGATGGATTGATCGGGAGACCAAGGAGGGGGCGGTTCGCGAGCGTATGCGGTCGTCGTGCGAGGGTGGTGAGGGTGAGCTGTCTCGTCGAAAAAATCAAAGGTTTGAAAGGAAAATTGCCAGCTCGGAAAGACCCACGATGGGTGTGGTGTGGGGACCAGGGAGAACTGTGGGAACCGTACCCGCGCTAGGCCGAGAAGGGGAAGCGCCCGGGGTTTTGCCGGTGCCGGCCACACGTTTTTTGGGTGAGTGCCGGATGACGTTGGCTTGATGGTTGTTCTATTTATCTTGCATTTTCACTTAATCGCAAAAGAACTGAAGTACTGCTGAATGTTCCGTGTGGCTTGACATTTTCTCCGACTTGGAGGAAACACTGAAGAAAGGTACTGGCTTAATGCATTGTTGCTTCCTCCACGGCAACAAAGACGTGACCCAATGACAGAACCCCCTTCCATTGCGTCACGTGGTACGTCACACGTGACCCCACTCTGACGTTGAAGCCTCAAGTGCCCAGATCATCGGGTGCTGCTGCAGGGCTTCTGGCTTGGGGGCTATCTGATACCCAAGACCCTACGCAGTAGGCTGGGCTGGGATCGGGTGCTAAAATTCCTAAAAACCCGGCTATCTGACCTAGTCTTCAGGGGTCATCCCCTAGAGCACACCGTCGCCAATGCCCGACCTCCCCTCACTATGCACTCTAAATAGAGAAAAGCCTCCTTTCTCACGTCAGGCCATGACTTTCTTCATCTCACCACACGCCTCAAAATGCTGCCTGCTGCCAACCAACCCGCCCGCCTCCTCGTCCCATGTCTTGAAAAGTCTCATTCCTGCCCACGACTCGCATCCCTCACGCCCACTGCAGGTGTCATTGGCCAGGAGTTTCAGAACAAGCTCAAGGGAGAGTTTAATGCTTTTGGGTTGTTTCATGCAGCCAACGGCCTCTGAACACTCACGCTCGACTCGTCCAAGGGAGGGGAAAGAGTCGACGAGGCAGCATTGCGCAGGATGATCACACACAAACAATGAGACGACGTTCGACCCCCTCACTTAGGTTGGGGTTGGCTCTGCGCTGGCCTTTGCCTTTTGCGCCTGAACTGCCCGATTATCTGCTGTCCGCAGACTTGCTGTCCGGATGAAATCTGCTCGCCTCGGGCTCGTGCTGTTTGATTCTGTCATTACTCGGTCACCTTTCTTGACTGCCTCTGTCTGCCCGCAAGATAACCGTGCATCTCGAACTTACCTTGCTGCCCTTACGTCGTGTGCATCGGTGACGTGACTGACGGTTGCTTGAAGCCCATCAAGACAGCAACTTGCATCCTGGAGCCTGCGGCCTGATCTGTGAGAACTGCCCCCGGGCTGCGCAATGGTTTGGAGACGCGAACAGCATCATCCTGTAGCCTCCCACGTGTCTCGCCCGTTTCCAACGCCGCACGTCGTCTAAAGTCTTATTCCATATGTGATTTCTCGACATTTCACTATTACCGTCTTTCTTTTCACAATGTTATGTCTCGGCCGAACCGGGTCCGGCGCTATCCCATCGCTAGTGCAAATCGTCTCATGGCTAGGCTACCTAAAACCGCGGAGCCCCCTGGAAGCTTGTTCAACCACACATGCCACATCCCCAAATATCACGGCCCCCTTCCGTCACATGTGTTTCGCTGCCAACGACATCTCATCACATACATCAACATCTCACAATTCCAGGGCAAGGCTGATGCTGGCAGCCACCACACGCTAAGAACATGGCACAAGCTGGACTCACGCGCTCGCTGATGAGCTGGCTCACCCGCATCCTGGCATTCCTCTTCGTCATCTGGGTATCCCCCACCGTGCTGGGCTCCTTCGGGCTCGGGGGCAAGGACGACGCCGGAGACTACGCCGCCACGAACCCCTGGCGCGACCTCCCCGCGGACCCGGCCGTCCACGAGACACTGAAGGAGGTGCTCCTCATCGGCGACACGCTGCGCGACGGCATGCTGCCCACATCCCTCCCGGGCGACGACTACGACACCTACTCGGCCATGCTGCGCAGCCTCGAGGGCCGCGAGGACCTCACCTGGCTCGTCATCCAGGAGACGCGCATCGACCAGACGGCGTCGGCGATCGCCAATCGCGGCGGGTACCACAGCCCCATCCCGGAGGAGCCTCACGACTTACATGAGCGGGCGAAGAGGCTGCATAATCACTGGTTCAAGCTCACCTCGGCCAAGGACAAGCCGGAGCGCTGGGAGGTACGGTTTGACACGACGTATCTCCCGTCGCTTCTCACGGCGCAGGCGCTGGATTCGGGAGAGCGGGCTAAGGGGTTCAAGCTGGACTTGACGCCTGCGCAGAAGGCCGAGGCGGAGGAGAAGTACAAGGCCTACCGCAAGAGAAGGGACCGCGCCGTGAGCTACCTCAAGAAGAACCCGCCGAAGCCGATGGCGTGGGTCCCGATCCAGACGGACGCCGAGGAGGTTAAGCGGGGTATCTGGGAGACGATCTTTAGCGATGGGATTGTGCGGGCTGGGCGGAAGGTGTTGGGCAAGCAGATGGCGGCGAATCCGCTGTTCAAGCCCGTCTATCGGGATCTCGTCACGGAGCGGGTTCCATATAGCTGGGTCGATCCCAACCAGCCTGCGGAGGAATTTAATGAGGCGGACCACCTCAAAGAGATGGAGGCCTTTAGAGAAGAGAGCCGTCTGAGGCAGGAGAGGTCGGATAGGCAGGCCAAGTTCCAGGAGGAACTGAGGGCTGCGGAGCGGGGAGACAAAGATGAGTTGTAATGTCGGAGTAAAGAGGGCGTGAGAAACCGGGCGTGAGAAACCAAAGCAACAGTCTTCGCTATTCTATACAGGCTAAACGCTAGTAATTCTACAAAGATGCGTCAACCGCGTGCACCGTCAGGCTGGTCACACAACCCCCCACCCCAACGTGTCTTTTTCACCGCCCAGTTGAGCCGCACTACCACATCTCAACCCCCCATCACCAAATCTCATCAGCCCTCAGCACCTAGTACCCAGACAGCACAGCGCCGATGGACACAATCGCCGGCACGCCCTGGATCAGGAAGATGCGCGGGTTCGCCGTGGCACCGCCGTACGCGCCGGCGACGGCGACGCAGCCGAGGAAGAACAGCTTCAGCTGCTCGGCGAACTCGGGGACGGGGTGCGCGAGGCCCCAGGCGAGGCCGGCGGCGAGGAAGCCGTTGTACAGGCCCTGGTTGGCGGCGAGGGCCTTTGTCTTCTCGGCGAAGTCGGCGCTCAGGCGGAAGGCCTTGCGGCCGCGCGGGTGCGTCCAGAGGAACATCTCGAGGACGAGGATGTAGCCGTGCAGGCCGGCCATGAGGCCCGTTGCGGTGGCGCCGATGTAGCCCATATTTTTGGAGGTGGTGGTGTGAGAATGAGTGAGTGTGGTGGTTGAGGTTTAAGGTATTGTGGAGTTTGTGGTGGTTGGTGGCTGTTTGGGAGGAGGCCGGGGGAGGAATGAGTGACTGGTTTTTGTCTCGGAGGCCACTGGTTCAACAACGGTTGTGAAAGTTTTCACCGCAAAAAGTCCGAAGGCGTCGTACCGTTGAGATAGGGGAGCTGGACAGAACTGGACGGTACCGATGGGATAAAATCACCGGCGGAACGGAAAAACGATGGAAATTTGGGGGCGTGTTGTCTCACGAACGGATTCGGATGTTTGCGAGTCAGCTACTTTTGGGCTACACCGAGCTCACCGAGGACACCCCCGCTGAGGATGCTTGGCGGGCTGCATTCGACTGAGACAGAGGGCATCTCAAGGCTACATTTGGGAGGCCTGAATTGCATTACATACGGGATTTTTTGAATTCTTGGGTTGGGTTGACTCAATCAGTGAAGCAATAATCGAATCAAAAGATACGCAGTCAGGTTCTTCGATATCAGCCTGGTTCAATCCCCGTCAGAGTGATACAGCAGTCAAAAAGGTGTGCCCACAGGCAGCAAGCTGTGAAAAAAAAAGTTATAAGGGAAGAAGGATATATAAGAAAAAAGCAAAAAGGCTATCTTGTTAACCGGCACTATTCTCGATTTTCTCTAGTCGTCGTTGTCCTTGTCTCTGTCCTAATTACCTTCCCTTCCTCTGTCTCCCACTGTCTCTGTAATTCATCGTCCTTGTCACCCTCGGTGGGAAAGAGCACCTTCCTAAACCAGGCGTCGGCCCCTTCCTCCTGCAAATCACAGGGCAGGCACTTGTCCAATCAGAAACTATCGTAATAGTGGATACCTACTCTAAGCACGTGATATCGCCATCTTGCCCAGGAAAGGAACGAACAGAGGGGTTGCTTGCTGTACACAGGGAAGCTGCAGGGATGAGGCACCTGCCTCGCCCTCGACGCGAAAACTAATTGCTGCTCACCTCGACGCGTTTGCAGGGTCCTCGACGACAAACCACCATCGATCGACTTCCACAATCCCCAAAATTTCATCCACAGATATCGTCGATCGGGATATCGATTGCCTCGATTCAGTACAATCCTTTCTGAATTCTGGCACTTTTTCCCCCCAACCCAGTCGCCTTTCGTCCACTCCTTGAACCCGCTTCACCTTCACCTTATCCTTCTCACTCACCTTCATCCCGGCCAAGCTTCTTTTCCCCGGTTACACAACCAACAATCTAAGCCGCCGCGAACGGACACCAACCGCCACCAGCCCGTATTTCTGATGGGTCCAACGTTAGCCGCAAGTCAGGTCAACCCATCGTCACCGTCACCATTTTCGTCCAAGAACCACGGTCTACGTCGCTTGGCTTAGTCACAATTCATCTGACAAGATGCCCCCGATTAAGATGGAGGGGGTAAAGATGGAGGGCGTCAAACCTGAGCCATCCGATGCCAACAACTTGCTTTCGACCCCCGTTGCACCCGTTGCGAACCCAAGGAACTCGAACCCAGTCGCATCTCCTTACGCCTCTCCGCGGCACCCCTCTTCACCATGTCAAGGCTGAGCCTGGATTGAAAGCTGAGGTCAAGCCCGAGGTCAGCCAAGAGCAACAACCCATCGAGGAAGAACAGCAAGGCCCCGACCCTCTCGAAGAGTGGTCTACAGAGACATCCCCGGAGGTCCTAGAGGATGGCGTCAAGCGAGGCCTGGACTTTTTGAACCATATCAAGAACTTCTTCAACGCTGCTTCATCCATGCCCGACACCCAAGCTCCCGTCTGGCTCAAGGCAATCAGCGATCTCGAGGCCCGATCGGAGGCTTCCAAAGGCCATTGTTGGTGTCGTTGGCAACACTGGTGCCGGCAAGAGCTCCGTCATCAACGCCCTCCTTGACGAGGAGAGGCTTCTGCCGACCAACTGTCTCCGAGCCTGCACTGCCTCCCCCACGGAGATCTCATACAACAAGTCCGACGACCCCTCCGAGCTCTACCGTGCCGAGATTGAGTTCATTTCTTCTGAGGACTGGATGAAGGAGCTCAAGACGCTGTACACGGACATTTTTGACGACAATGGCAATGTATCCCGCGAGTGCACCAACCCTGACACGGAGGCTGGTATCGCTTACGCCAAGATCAAGTCCGTCTATCCTTCCAAGACCAACAAGATGATCGCCGAGAGCAGCCCCGAGAAACTCGCCAACGAGTCCGAAGTGAGACGTGTGCTCGGCAGTGTCAAGAAGCTCAAGTCAACCACCGCCAAGGAGCTCTACAACGGCATGCAACGCTACGTCGACAGCAAAGAGAAGAACAACCATCTCAAGAAGGACGTCCCCATGGAGTATTGGCCCTTGATCAAGGTTGTCCGCATCTACACCAAGGCGAACGCTCTGTCCACTGGCGCCATCATCGTCGACTTGCCCGGTGTACAGGACTCCAACGCCGCCCGAGCTGCTGTTGCCCAGCAATACATGAAGGCATGCAGTGGTCTCTGGATTGTCGCACCCATCAACCGCGCAGTCGACGACAAGACCGCCAAGTCACTTCTTGGTGACTCATTCAAGCGCCAGCTCAAGTACGACGGTATCTACTCCGCTGTTACCTTCATCTGCTCCAAGACGGACGATATTTCGGTGACTGAGGCCGCCGAGAGTCTCGATATTGAAGCAGACGTCGCCGACTCGTGGGCCAAGATTGACGACCTGCGCGACCAGTTGCGTATCCTCAAGAAACAACTCATGGACGGCAAGGACGAGAAGGCAGATCTTCTCGATAGGCTCGAGCAGCTCGACAGTCAGTGGGAAAAGTGGGACGACCTATCGCAGCGGCACGCTGATGGCAAGACCGTCTACGCACCCACCACCCACGGCAAGAAACGCAAACGCGGTGCGACCTCCTCCAGAAGCCGCAAGAACCGCATGTCTGCTGACAGCGATGACGAGTCGTATTCGGACGATTCGGCTAGTGATAAGGAGAACCAGCCGGACGACGACGACGACGATGGCGACAGCGATGACGAACGCCAGCCCCTAACGGAAGAGGCGATCCAGGAAAGGCTCTCGGACCTCAAAGCCCAGCGCAAGGAGGTTCGCCAACTGCGAAAGGAGGTGGACCACAAGTTGTCCGATCTTCGACAGGCCATGAAGCCCCTTCAAGCCGAAGAGAGTCGTCTTCTCGCTGGCGTAAAAGCTGTTTGTATTCAGGGCAGGAACGAATATTCGAAAGGCGCTATTCAGCGCGATTTCGCCATGGGTATTAAAGAGTAGGTTTTTGGCCCCCACCCTCTCCCCTTCTCCCGTCATCCTCCCCCGTCTTCGTCCCCCGTCTTCGTCCGTCGTCTTCGTACCCCATCCTCATTTCTCCTCCTCGTTTCCCCTCCTCGTTTCTCCTCCTCGTTTCCCATCCTCGTTCCCTATCTTCAAGCCTTGTCGTCCTTTGCCTTATCCTCTCTTCTCCGTCCTCGTCTGTCTTCTCCGTCCTCGTTTCTCATTCTCGTCCCCCGCTTTTGCACTATGAATTTGTTACTAACTACTGCAGATTGGATCAGGAAGCTGCCATCGAGGAGAACGAAGAGACATTCAACCCGGATGAGGATATCAGAGACTATGATGAGGTCGCTCGGAACCTGCCCGTATTCTGTGTCAGCAGCCGTGCGTATCAGAAGATGAGAGGTCGCCTACAGAAGGACGACTTCAACGACGAAGGCTTCCGCAACGCTGACGAAACTGAGGTACCCCAGTTACAACAGCATGCCAAGAAGCTCACGGAAGCTGGCCGTGCGGCCACTTGCCGTCGTTTCCTCAACGACTTGAGCCAGCTACTCAACTCCATGAGGATGTGGGCTGCCAACGATGGCTCCCTCTCCCACATGAGCGACCAAGACAAGAGAAACGAGGAAGGTCACATCCGTCGGCAATTGGCTTCGTTGGATAGAGTAAGTTCCCTGGCCCTTTGGTCTTGCCGGGTCTTGCTGAGTGCTGACTGAATGCAGGACTTTAAGAAGGCCGTCGATGAATGCCTTACCTCGATAAAGGAGGCTCTGGCTGAAAGCATATACGATTACTTTGATCTTACCATTCCATCAGCGTCCGCCGCAGCCGTCCCAACTGCCACCTCCTGGGGCGCACACCGAAGCGAGGGTGGCATGTTCTGGGCAACCTACAAGGCCACGTGCTGCCGGTCCGGTGTCTATGCTGGTGCATCTGGTCCTCGCGACTGCAATGCCGAGCTTTTCGAGCCGATTAGCAAGCAGCTTGCCACTGGATGGGAGCGTGCTTTCCAACGCCGCCTCCCCCAAGCGCTTGAAGGTTTCGCTATGAGTGCCCGCCTGCTCTTGGACACTTTCCATCGTGGAGCCATCGCCCGTTCTCAGCAGCGCGGCACCAACTACGCAGGAATCAACATGCTGAGCCAGCAGCTTCGGACCCACACGGCCCGGCTCAAAGAAATTCCAGGTTTGCTCCGCACCGTCGTCCAGGAACTGCAGCGTGAGGCCAGCAGAGGCTCCCATCCCGTTATCACCGAGGAGATGCAGCCGGGATATGACTTGTGTGTCGCAGAGTGTGGTAAGTTTATCTAGTTCGGTCAACGGGTAGTAAGCTAACCTTTCGACAGGCACCGGTTCGTACGCTCGCATGAAGTCGCACATGATCAACCACGTTGAGAATGCCCGTCATACAATGTTCCGTCGCTCCACAGATAGCGTCAAAGAGCAACTCAAGGCGCTATGCAAACGGGTCGAAAATGATATGGCGGTCCAGGTTCAGGAGATTTACAACCTCCTCGCTCGTGACTACCTTTCTGTCCTAGTTGGGGTCGACTCCAGCATCCAGCCAGCTGGTCTCCCAAGAGCGGAGCGCCTTCTTCGGGCTGAAATGTACCCCATCTTGCAGGGCACATCTCGGTGGTTCGCCAAGTCTCCAGCAGCCGAGGTCTCCTCGGTTTCCGAAGACGTTGATCCATTTGCCGATGGCGACGATCTCGCCGCTTCGCAACTGCAGGATGAGTTTCAAGCAGGTGCCCACGAGGCTCGCGTTAAGACCGAAGCAGTGTAAAGATCTGCCTTTCTGCTAATGGATGACGAGAGACGGAAACGGAGACGGACGAAGACAGACGAAGATCCAAGACGATGACGACGAGGACGACGAAAACACCGGAGACGGACGAGGACCAGAGATGAAAGGGGCTGAGAGGATGGGAGGAGGACCAGCAGAAGCAACGCCAGCGGTCAGATTCTTTTGCTTCTTGGCGTACGGGAGCGCCTGGGTGCTCCTTCGTATGCTTTGAGGCGTTCGGATCGGAAATACCCAACAGGCGTTAGGTTACCTCATTTTGCGGATGGAAAAGTAGCCCTCATGTTATCTGCACTGGAAAAGTGTGGACGTGGCGATGCTCATGGTACTTGGTCGCGGCGTTTTTTTAGTTCTATATCCCAAGCAGGAGAGGTATCATTCCAGTCGTACTTGCTTTCAATTGAACAAAGAATTGCTTAAACTTCGATTCTGCGTGTCTTGTAAGTTGTAGGTGATCTGCCAAGTTTGTCATTACCTCGTGTCCTCGGCGTTCCCAGCCAGACGCGTTCATCAGAGGTGAGGATGAGGGAGGAGCTCACACGGGTTAGTGAGGCGATGCCCTCGTCTTGCTCATTTTGGGGGTGGCGTTCGGTGAGTGGGGGGATGCTTTGCGTCAACATGAAATATTGAAAACCTTTACGGCCCATGGAGATACGGCACATGATACCCGGGACTCGAGAGCGACACGTGTGGGAAAAAAATAGATTCCACTTCTTATCTAGACTTAATCCCCAATGAGGTGATACACTGCTTCCCTACTCATGCAATCTAATAAATGCAGGGAACCCACACATGTGGCCTTTTTTGCTCAATTTCTTTCTTCAGGGCCCTGTGCTCCTACATCCCGTCTTTCCCCCAACTCGCCACTTGTCCTCACCCATTCCTCATCGTCAGCAGAGGACTCAAGAGTGCTGAGGCTTGCTGCCCGTCTTGCGCTTTCCCGTGAGGACAATGATCTCGCCCTCGGCAATGAGACGCTCGCGGGTAGCATCATCCAGCACTGGGATACGATCGATACGACCACGCTTCGACAAAGCCGAACTCTGGCTCGCGGCCTCAGCGAAGACACACTGCTGGAAGGCCTCGTTGTTCTCCACGGCCGCGTCTCCCTTGGCCATGATCTCCTTGACGCCCTCGTCCATGATGTAAGCGCAGTCGGGGGCGTTGGGCGCCGGGGTCGCGGTGGGCTTCGCGCTCTCAGGACCGAGCAAGGCGTCCCTGAATATTTCGATGATACAGCCCACCATGGCCTTTAACTCGGCCCTCTTGGTCGCCATGGAAGGCTCCCCGACTTTGTCCCCGGCTTCGATGCCCTTCTGGCGGATCTTCTCGATTCTGGGAGCACAATATTCCTGGGACGTCATGTTGGCGGGGATCGCGGTGGCCGACTTCTTCTCGATCTGGGGCCCGACGCGGACGAGGTCCGCGAGGTTGGAGGGGTAGCCCCGGGCCGCGAGGTGGGCCTTTGTGGGGGCGGTGGTGCCGGTCGCCGTACCGGTGGTGTTGGTCGCCGTAGCGGCGGTCGAGCTAACGGTAGCTGAGGACGCGGTAGGGGTACCGGTGGCCGAGGAAGTGCGGGCGGGCCTCTTGGTCAGCTTGAGAGGACCCGAGACGGCTGCGGTAGGGGCGACGACGCCGGGGCCAGGACGGCCGCGGATCTTCTCGATGGCGTCGTTGGGCAGGATCTTGTCTGCGGCGACGGCGGGCATTGACTTGGTCACGACGGGCCCCGGGGCGGCGTTGAGGATGGCGCTGAGGGCCTCCGGCGACAGCTTTCTGAAGCCATCATCGTCGGTTGCGCAGGCGCCGTCGACAGCCGCGTCTCTCTTGTCCTTGTTGCACGGAGGCTCCGCAGTCTTGGGAGGGTTCTGCGGCTTCTTAGCCTTCTTCGCTGCCAAGAACTTCTTAGCCTTCTTTTCTCCCCAAAGCTCAGTTAAGTTCTTCTCAAGCTCCTCGGGGCTGAGCTTCTTGGGCTTCGAAGGCTTCTTTAGCATCCTGGCCTTCTTCGCTGCCCAACGCTCCTTGGCCTTCTTCGACCAGGGACTGGGGTCCTCGGGGGGGCAATGACCATTGTCACAGCCAACCCACGACTCCTTAAGACCCTTCACGGCCGGGGCGGCACCGGTGGGGGAAGGGGAAGCCGGGGTTGCGATGGGTGCCTCCAGGGGCATGGCTAAACCCGTGCCGGCGACAGCCAGGATGGCTGCCAAGAATTTGGTAGAGTGCATCTTGTTGTGTGACTAGAATAGATGATGTGATAAGATGGTTTTAGATGGCAAGATTTGTTGTTCGTGAAAACCTGGTGACGTTAGAGTTGCTAGCGTTGATGTCAGTAAGCTGGTTGCTAGCTGCTGATGATGAGAAGGAAGAAAAGCGAGAAGAACGCGAGGGGAAGAAGATCTCTCTATTTATTAAAACCTGCATTGTTCGCAACGGATGTTGTCTAAGTTCGGAGAAAGCATTGGGTGGCAATTCTTCAGTCGAGTGGCGGTTTGACGCTCAAGAATATTGAGGTTTCCCCCCCAGGGTGCTTGGGGATGTGCGGTGTGGACAAATACTTCAATCTGGCTGGATGAACGACTGTATCATGATTATGACCCTTTTGGCTTTCTTCCCTTGTCTACTGTTACTTTGCCTTCTTGGCAGTCTCCAATCCCTAGGCACTGCCATACCCTGTGGCCATCGTCATCACCATTTGTCGTCTCTGAGCTCCTCTATGGCCAATATTGCCAGTATAGATGAGCGGCCATCCTTCTGGTGAAATTGTGTTGGACAGATCTGTAGCCGCCGCATCGTTGGGTGAGATTGGAATGTGCCCGATCAGTACCAATATTGAAGCTTGTATGCGGCTTTTCGCAGGGGGTTTCCAACCCTGAGTGATGCGGCTCACAAATATCTGCGCCGTTGAACGGTTTTATATGGGTCCTGCACATCCCCGGAAAGCTTAATACCTCCATGCCGAACGGGTTTTGTGGCGTTCTCAAGCAAGGTTCTCGAGGGCCAAGGTAAGTTCGAAGGACGTCGGAGTATTGCTCTCGATACAAAGGAGATCGTCCAGGAAAAGAGTATTAGGCAGAGATTCTCGTCTCGGGTGGGGCCCATCTCCGTTTGGCGCGTTTGTAATACGGGCACTCTCAAGGTCTTGATGGTACATGTCGAGATGCGATACGGTGGTTTCGCAGCCGCTCGGGTTGGTCAGCCTGTTGCCGGAGATGCCCAGCGCGGTTTCTCCTGTGGCCGCCTCGTGGGCCCACTGGAATTGTTCAGTGGTGGCTGCGGCGAGGACAAGAAGGTTGGCCATTTCCTGATTGTCGGTGGCGGAGAACGCAGACATATTGAGTTGGTTATCTGGGTGCGTTTGAACCAGGAAAAAGGTTGCTTCGATGATAATTCAAGTTGCAAAGAACCCTACAGTTTAATGAATGTGTTGAAAACTGCGTTGATCTCAAGATCCAATATTGGACACAAGTTGGAAATATTTCAACTTTACGGAAACAAAGCGCGTGCTCTAGAAACTTTGCTTGGGCCCACAGGCTTCTTTGAAGTCAGGCAACAAAAGACCTCCTCCCTGTGCAACGAGAGAGCTACACATGAGAGAAGGACAAGAAGCTTCGATGGACAGTGGATAAAGGATAATTCAACATCCTCTCTCCGATAGGTTCCAGGGGCATCTTGGGTTTTTGAAATCCTGCAATGGCGTTTATGGACAATGCATTGTATTCTTCCTCGTCATCTTCATTGTCAAGGAGCCCATTATCCAACATTCAGCAAATGCCTTGCATATGACAATTTCAACCTCTAGCAATATTGTTGTCCGTCTACCATGCTGACCAGCTCAATGTGTAGTCGAGCGACAGCGCGCAAAGACCTTCCTCATACGGACCAATGTAAACAGTCCTGTCAAGATGCAGCGCTTATCCATTCGTGCGGCACAGATGGCCGATGCGGCGCCGTAATCAGCACGACCTAATGTTCTGAGACAGGGATCATTGTGCGGCAACGTCATCCGACGTTCAAGCTCTCAGCTTACAGGAAATCCGAGTGTCAACTAACCCCTCATCCTTAAACCATCACCAACTTACTGACAGATATTGATTCATGACTGTAATTGAATATGAGGGCGTTTCTGGCTCTATTGGCGCTCTCAGCCGCTGGTCGACCAGTCGGGCAGGATGCGGCACAGCGGCCCCTCCAATCGTCTGACGCTGATCCGTCAGTGCTCTCCTCAGACATCAGCGCTTACATCGAAGGCTTGATGGAAGAATGGCATGTGCCGGGTCTTTCAGTGGCTGCTGTAGATGGAGACAAGACGTTGGCCAAGGTACTTACTCCCCCAATGTCCGGCATCACGGATCCGTCGGCGGGTCATCGCCGCCCGGCGATCGGCGCCAGGCCCGCAATCACGGCGCCGGCGTGGCCACACCAACCCCGTCCGCCCACGACACCATCAGCTAACACACCACCAGGGCTACGGCTACGCCATCCTCAACTCAACCCCCGCCACCCCGCACACGCTCTTCTACACCGGCAGCACCACCAAGTCCTTCACAGCCGCCGGCCTCTCCCTCCTCGTCGACAACTCCACCAGCCTCACCTGGACGACGCCCGTGTCCAGCGTGCTCGACGACTTCGTCCTCAGCGACGCGTGGGCGACGGCACACGTCACGCTCGAGGACGCACTGAGTCACCGGACGGGCTATCCGCGCCACGACCTCGCGTCCTCGGCGACGACGGCGCGCGAGATGGTGCGGAATCTGCGGAATCTGCCCATGTCCGCGGAGCCGCGCGCGAGGTATCAGTATTGCAACAAGATGTTTGGCGTGATGGGGTACCTCATCGAGACGCTTACCGGGCAGTGGCTGGGTGATTTTCTGAGGGAGAGGCTGTGGGAGCCGATGGGGATGGGGGAGACGTACTTTTCGCTGAGGGATGCGGGGGAGAGTGGGCTGGGGCTTGCGAATGAGTATGTTTACGATCCTGTGCAGGGAAAGCATTTGCAGGTGCCGCATGAGCCGTTCTCTGCTGAAGAGGGAGCCGGGTCGATTATTTCGAATGTGCTTGACTACGCCAAGTACCTCCGCATCATGATGAATGAGGACGCGCCGCTGTCCAAGGACGGTCACAGGGAAGTAAAAACGCCGAGGAGCTTCTCGTCCATGTCAAAGCCTCCGTTCGTCGGGCCGGTGACGTACGCTTTTGGGTGGAACCAGGCGGTGTTTGAGGGTGAGAGGGCGTACTTTCACTCTGGGCAGGTCAACCAGTTTGTGTCAATCATGATCATGATCCCGTCGAAGAAGTTCGCCGTTACGGCCATGTCGAACACCGAATCCCCTGCGATAGAGCTGATTGCTCATCATCTTTTGTGCGAGCACTTTGGCGTGCCGAAGGAGAAACGGCTTGACCTTAATAAGCAGTAAGCAGATTGCATGGACAGTGGAAACGAGACACTGATACTTGAGCAGGTACAAGTCGCAGAAAAAGTTGCAACAGAAATATCTCGAGAACTGCGGTGATTATATCTACCCTTCAGTACCAGAGCCGCCTCTCCTCCCGACGCTACCCATCTCCGACCACATCGGCGAGTATAGCGATCCAGGATATGGAACAGTCCAGGTCGATCTGCACTGCGAAGATGCGGGACCTTCGTTTCTAGGTTACAACAGGGAAATCAACGAGCAATGCAAGCTTCGCGTGTTGAACGTTGCGGGCGTGGGCTGGGCGTTCATGAAGCCGGTGCTGTATCTCGAGCCCAAGTCTGGTAATTACTGGGTCGGGCGTCTGTATATGGAGGCTGGAGATGCCCAGAACGTCACGACTCCTTCTATCTGTATGAGGGCGGAGTTCAAGGTTGATGTTACCGGTACGGTGACTGAGCTTGGACTGGATCTCAGGCTGGAGAATGTACTTGAGGGTACGCCGGCAGGCGATGGGCCGCTCGTTTGGTTTAAGCGTGTCGAGGATTAGGTCCAGACAGGATACAATGGTACAAACGATGAAAGAGGATTAAGACACGTGGGTTCAAAAACAACAGTCGAACAATCAAATCCGTATCAAATGAACGCCCCAACTTAACCTACAAATTCTAACAAACTTACGACACCACCATTCTTCTATGCCTATTCAGTGCTGTATTCGAAGATCTTCCGCCTCTTTTCAGGCCCATCCTCCTTCGCAAAATGAACCTTACGCTTCGAACACACACTCTCCTCGATACCCACGCTGCCATCATCCGGTCTTGGCCTAATTCCAGGCGTCTTCTTCCCACGTAGCCGCTGAATCCTGTGCTTCTCCTTAAGCCGACGTTTGACGTCCATCTTGCCCCTGTTCCTCCCATATCGCGAAGCCATAACAGGCTGGTACGATTGCACCGCGTAGACGGTCTGGGCGGAGTCCGAGTCGTCCGAGTCCGCCTCGTAGCCACCGGCTGGGTTGACGAGGGAATCGAGCACCTCGCTGGCGATGTTGTCGTCAGGGCCGTCGAAGAAGTCCTGCACGCCGTACTTATCCTCCAACATCTGAAAGTATGGGTAAGGCGCGACTTCGTCGGGCTGTGGTGGCGAGGGAGGGTTCGGGGGTCTGTAACCCCAAAGAGGCGGGTAGTTCTCCACTAGAGAGATTCAATTAGGAAGATGTCGCTTTCGATGGAAAGACTCAACTTACTTGGTTGCCATCTAGCGGCATTCCAGATGAATTTTTCGGGTCCACTGTCTGCGTGTCTGAAATCGACCAACCTGGCGCAGAGCCGGTGCTCGCAGTTGTTCTTCACGTAATCGGCCAAGGCGTCGTCGCTCTGGATACTGTGACCCACGTAGTTACGCAAATTCTCGTAGTTCCGATTATTGTAACCAAAGTCGATGACATCTGGGTGGTGTCAGTTGACCATCCAGAGACAGCTTGTAACTCCTGGCATACCTGTCACATCGTAAATCAAGCCATCTACAGCAACATAAGCCAGGCGGTCCTTCAGCCCGTCGAAGTGTCTCATCTCTGTGATTGACATGTTGCGAAGCTCAGTCTTTTTAGGGTCGGTCATGGCCACGATGAAGCCCTTCATACGCGCAAACGTCGTCAGAGGACCCTCGTCGTCGTCCTCGGCCGCAAGTGCTTGGGTGGCGTCTTTGCCTAGGTAGGGCCTGAGTGCTTCGACGAGGCGGTAGTTCTCTGCCGAGTCGATGAGAGCTGACAAGAATAAAGTATTAGTTGGTGACTCTCGTCGCATGAATGATAGGGCTGCTCACCTCGCACTGAGTAGATCTCATTGCGGAGCAGGATCTCGTCATGATGCACAACCTCTGGCGACGGCAGTCCGTCGAGAAGGACCGTCTCGGACCGGTTCTCGACCAACCTGCCAATGCGCACGGCTTGCAATGATTCTATCAATTCGTCCTTGGATTTCGGGTGATGTTTGTTGAATAGCTCGGTAATGTCTTTTCCCCCGTTCTCGACCAAGAGCCTTTCGCCTCCGGGATGGAGCATAACGTAGTCTGAGATTTGTAACTGTCAGTATTCTGACTCTAACAAAAGAAGAGTGGCGGTCTCACTTGTGATGTCGTACACCTTGTCCTGAATGGCAACATACATGCTGCAATCCACAAACTCGTAGCGGCGCAGCGTCTTTTCCGTGAACGTCCTCTCATGATGCCTGTGGGTGGCTCTGGGCACCTTGGAATCCACATATCCAATGCGATATCGAGAGATCTGGTCGCTAACAGCTCGGGGGAAGACGCCAGCCTGCAATAGCTTCTGGGAAGGGTTGCCACCCGGCGTCGACCTGAGGATTTCCAGGACATTGACGCGCTTGTCGGGGCCAGCATTTTCCAGGTGATCAACATCTTTCAAACTGTCAGCATCAAAAACCCACGAAAGGAATGGTTCACACGCACCAGTGAGGTCAAAAACGCTATCCGCGATACGGACGCAAAAGGGGTAGCCGTTCGTCCCATCGCACAGGGCGATCTCGTCCTCTCTCCAGATTCTCATCGCCCTCCCCAGCGGCACAAGGTTGGGAGCAGCCTGTCTTAGTAGTTTCACAGCTTCGGGCTTTATCTGTTGGCCATTGAACTCCTTCGACGTGATGGTGTTCAGTTGTTCCTCAGTGATGTTTCCCAGGAGTTCCTTGACATCCGAAACGAGGAAGATGTTCAGGTGAATCCCTTCTTCAGCAATGAGCACAGGCTTCCCCTCTTCCACCGCTTGGTCGTATATCTGGCTTGTGGTAAAGTACTTGAAGTCGCCTTTTCCGGGACGCTGGTCAACCGGAACAACGTCACCCGCGATACCCACGCATCCGATGGCCCAGGTCGGTTCAATTTCGATGTGGCCGGGGTCCTTCACCGGCTCCCCGTTGAATCGCAAAACAGCTTCTTCTCCGAACGCCGGGCTCATGGCGTCCCATCCATCCTTGAGTACCTCCTTGAACTTCTCCAAACCAGTCGCTCGCCCATTCTCCCATACACCAGCGTATTCCGGCATGCGGAAGTTGAAGTCAAGCCATGATCTGTAATCATTGCCCAAATCCGCCTTCAGCTGCGCCGTCATATCATTCACGGCAGTAAAGAACGCGCCTCGCAGCCCCAAAGGCAGGTCGCAGACTGCTTCGAACGCATCCCAGCAGGACACGGCCAGCTCAATCAAGTCGCGGCGCAGGTTCAGCCTGTTCTTGGGCGGGTCCGGGGCGTGATGCCTCTTGTCCATCCGGAAGCCGTCGTACTTGTGTCGGTTCCTGTACAGATACGTCATCGCCGCGGACAGGTCCGACCGCTCGGCGCTGTTCAGCGCCGTCGCGACGCTGGCCTTGATCTTCCACGGGTTGGGGTTGCTGTAATGCGAGGGCTCCCTCTCCGGTACCACCTCCCCGTCGTGGGCGGGCAGAGAGGCGGCCATGAGGATGCCGATAGCGCGGAAGAACCACGCCTGCACGGCGCATTCCTTGTTGACGTGCTCGAAGCCGGGCGGGATTTGCATACTCACCCTGCCGTCGGGGAACTTGACGCCGATCACGAGCGGGTGGATGAGTCTGACGATCATGCTCTGCAGGTACAACTGGTCGACGAGGCCCCTGCGGACGAAGTGTATGGTGAGCGCGACGTTCAGCTCGCGGCGGAAGTCGGTCCAGCTCCAGGGCGTCATCTGCCACATCGCGAACGTGTCCGGGAACCACGGCCTCCTTGTCTGGTATGCCCGACGACGCGAGGTGAGCCGCCGCGCCAGAGTGCCCAGCGACTTGCGATGCCACTCAGGCGGGATATAGCCCATCACCCACCTCGCCTGCGATGGCACGGGGCCGCCGGCGGATTTGAACGGGGCATCTTCGATGGTGACGTCGACAAGAGGCTTGGGCATCTTGAGGGCGCCGGGCCCGTATTTGGGCACGATCTTGTTCCAGAAGTCGCCCGAGCGGAACGAGGTGGCCCAGAGGGCCGGGGCTGGCCAGGTTGTGCGGTACGAGGGGATGCAGAGGGCGACGCCGTACGTCTCGTGCCAGGTGTGGCTGTTGATGTTCGGCCATACGGCGAGGCCGGCGATGATGCCTGCTGCGTTGGAGTTCCTGTAATGGGACCCGGTCTCGAGGGACTCGATACCGAAGAGGGAGCCGCCGAGAGCCGACCCTTCCCAGGAATGGCCCATCTCGGGGTAATATTCTCTGGCTCCGAACTGGGACGTGTTAGTACCGAGATATGTGGAATCTGGGACATGGTTGATGTTACGATTTCATGTTTTGCGTGCCCGCCTAAGGTGAGCGTTGGTTGCGTCAATCCGGGATTAGGTCTGCTTCGGATCTCTAAGTTCACCGCGTGCTTGAAAAATATTAGTTGGGCTACCAAGTTCAAATCCCATTACTCACCATGAGTTCGTGTACAATCTTTCCAATAAGGTTAGCACGACTCAGCAATACGCCTCTCTCGTCTCGGGAGACATACAGTAAGAGCCTGAAGATGCAAGGCCAATCTCTTCGACACCGCTGTAGCGGACGGGTCAAGCATCGTCTGCAAATATACGATATCCAAGGTGATCGGCGACAGCCTGCGATGTGCATTGTAGGTTTGATGGGTCGTCCCAACTTCGGCCGAGCCATTATCTGAGGCGACAAAGTTGGTAGAATGATCTTTGAAAGCCCATAGAACGGCCGTGTAGAACTCTGGGTCCTCGAAGAAGTCGAGCACTGCTTGCGTGGTTGTCATGAATGAGGTGTCGTTCTTGACGCGCCAGATTTGCTCCCAATTCTTAGAGCCATACGGCACTTCGACTTTGACCGATTCGAGGCCGTCTTTGGATAGTAGCATGCGCAGCCTGTGTCACAACGGTGTTAAATCGCGGTCAGATCTGTCCGGAAGTCTGTAGCTTCTAGCACTCACCATGGCTCCGTCGCAGACACCCGCAAGATATTATCCGCCAGCTGAATGCACTTCGACAGCTCCTTCCACAGAAACGGGTCATCCACCGTCCATTTCCTACCCGCGTTCCCGGTCCAGTGCTGCTGCTGCACAAAGTCGATCCTCCAGCGGTACTTCTGCCACACGCGCAGCCACGAATCCTCGTCCACGTGCAGGTCGTTGGCCGTGGTGTGGTCGCTCTCGTCGTACGCCGTGTAGTCCTCGGCGCTAGCCAGAATCGCGGTCTCCCACGTCGTCAAGCCGTACATGAAGTGCTTCTGCAGGCGCTCCGACAAGAAGAGGTCGTCGAGCTCGGCCGGCGACGGCTTCGGCAGCGCGTTGGTGCTGGGCGGGTCGAGCCGCAGCGTGGCGGGGTCCATGGAGGGGAACATGGGATCCAGCCATGATAGCCTGTCGTTGTTGAGCTGCGGGAGGGTGCCCGTGACATAGTGCTTCTTCCATGGGTCGACGCGGTTGTCGCTCATGTTGGCATCTGATGGTTGCAGTAGTCGAAGGACATGCGAAAGGAACAAGATCAAGAGCTGAGGACGGTCGAAAACACGTCGGAATACACTGAAGGAAAATAAACTGCAAAATAAAGGTTTGGAAGAGAAAGAGGTCGAACCAAAGGTTGATGACCGGGCATCACGCCCCCTTTCAACTCCCAGATGAGGTTGAAGAAGTCCAGAGCAGGTATGACATTGACACAACCGCCCTTTGTGGTCGATTTCAATGGACTTCGAAAAATAGCTTTCAATGGAACGAAACCGGCGAAAAAGCACAGACAGAACAAGAGGTATTCAGGGGTTTCTTTGGGACCTTGAAATGTCAATGCTGGGGAATATGGCAGGGAGACGAGCGACAAAGAAAACGAGGGCGAGGTTGAGAAACAATGGGCACAACATCCCTTTCTAGGTATTGACCGAGGCAAAGTTTCTGGTGATGAATCTGATAATCTCAGACTTGAATGAGATGTTTCTGCCAGTTTCTTTTCTGTCTTAATCGTCAATGTTGAAGTCATCGACAAAATTGACTGCAGCATGGCATCCCAGTTCCCGCCCAACCTTCATTATTCTCTGAAAACCATGTCGTCGCCATGGAGCGGATATCTCAAGCATCACTCCCATCTCTCAGTCACTTCTTTCTAACTCCCAATCCTCCGCAATGGACGACACAGAACTCCCCTTCACAATCCCAACCCATCCCCCCTTATCCCCAACCACAACCTCCCTCTTCCCAACCCCCATCCCCCTCCCCTGCCCTCCCCCGCCCGCCCTCGACACCCTCTTCCACGCCGAACACGGCCAACTCTTCAACTTAAGCGGCCTACGCACCTCCGAGTCCCTCATCCTCCAGGCCCTCGACCCTTACTCCCCATCCCCTTCCCCCAACGGTGGCTTCATACACATCAACGAAGCAAAATGGCACAACATCTTCCACCGCAGCAAATGGGCCAGCACCGCCTGCCACATCGCCAACGCGCCGCTGCACATCGACGACGACATCGCATGGGGGCATATCAGCCCTGCGATCGAGCTCGCGAACAGGATGCTGGAACAGGCGCTCTCGCACCACTGGCTGCTCGCGATGCTGAGCGCGGCGGGGCGTGAGGCGGTGCATGGGGTCTCGGCGACTGTTGATGGGCGGAGGTATGCCAACGCGACGATCTACCGCGCGCTTCCTGGGCCGGTTACGCATGAAGCACGCGCGCAGGCGGTGAAGGTGTTGGATGAGATTGCTGGGAGTGTGTTTTGGGGGTTCCATCATGGGGATGAGGCACCGGGGCTGTTGGGCAAGACGGACACGATTGTGAGTGAGGGAAGGGGGTATCACTGGTGCACAGTGGACGTGAGGCTGGTGGAGAGGATGTGTGAAGGGAGTGAGGGGGAGAGGAGGGTTGCTGGTGTTGAGGTTGCTGTTATTGTAGGTAATCCATCCCCAATTAATGTCGTTCGCAATCTGATTTGGTCTTTGATTCTAGATGTTGCATGAACTCATGGTTTGCTCCCCCAACCTCCATATCTAAACCTGACCTGTTAACCCATCTGTAGCACGCGATATCAAGACACATCCTCACCTCCATCAAAACCGCAAACCCAGCTCACAGCTGCCCCTCCTTCGAAATCGTGCGTTCCCTCCTCCCACCCATCCTTACCCGAAGCTGACCCGCACAGTTCTTCAACAACGAACGCTGGGCCGAAGCAGGCTACTCCTTCGAAACCGCCTTCCTCGGCACCGTCCTCCGCAACACCTGGCCCAGCTCCCGCTCCCGCCGCAAAGCCTACCATGCCCTGCTTGCCCCGCGCCCGGAGACCGCCGCCGCGGGGCAGTTCCAGTACTACGGCGGCTGGGCGCCCTCCGACCCGTTCGTCGAGGAGCGCGCGGGCTTGCCGGGGCGGGTGCTGTGGGAAATGACCCGCGAGGACTTCTGGGGGGTGAAGGTGCGCAAGTTTGGGGCGGAGGGGGTGAGGATTCAGACGGGGTGTGTGAGTGTTGCGAGGGCGGAGTACTCGAAGGCGAGGGGGTATACGGTGCGCAGGGCGGATGTGCTTGATGATGCTGGCGGGTTTGGAGGACGGATTAGGGAGCGGAGGGAGAGGTTGAAGATGTTGAGGCCGTGGTATGCATGTGAGTATCGCAAGTGGTGCGAGACGCCGTTTGCGGAGTTTCAGATGCGCAGCTGGGTGCCGGGGGCCAAAGGGATTGGGAGGAGCGTCAAGTGCGAAGCTGGTGTTATCGCGGCTGCAAAGAAGATGGTTTCCCCGTTTGGAGTTGAGGAGCAAGTCTGCGGGACGAGGATCGAGGGGGAGAGGAGCGGACGGGGCTTCTGGAGGGCGGTTGGGTTTCTTGCGATGGCTGCGGTGCCGGTGAGGCGGGGCGTGAAAGCATGGGAGGACGAGAGCGTGCCGGCGTATCCGGACGTTCTTGTCCATGGAGCGAGGTTTGCGGCGCCGCGGGGGTTTCTGGAGGAGGTTATGCGGCGGGGGAGGGGTAAGAAAGAGAGGAACAGGAGGAGATGCGTTGGGCGTGCTGGGGAGAGGAGTCATGATCGGGAGATGTGTTTTGATAATGCGAGGGTTGCGTTTTTGAGATGGAAATGGGGCGGTGTTATGTCTGGGGAACTTGTGATGGAGTTTGAAGCGGCGATGAGGGAGGTGAGGGCGAAGATGGATAAGTTCCCCTTGGATGATGTTTGGTTGGACTTCGGATTCCGGATGCCGGAGTACAGCGGGGAGGTGTTCTTGCCCGTGGGATATGAGGATGATCGGGTTGATGAGGAAGATGCTGACTTGCCCAGTTGGGCCATTGCAAGGCCTGGCATTGCTGGAGAGGTTATCGGGACTGTCATCAAGCATTACTCGCCTGGAGAGGTTGGAGACCTCCAATCGTTGGGAGCAGGGCAAAAGGTCGTCTTATGGCAGGACGAAGACGAGACGGAGATCCAAGTCTACGATGTTAGTGAGATGTTCCCCAACGGCTGGGACTCAGATGCCAGATATGCCTTCACTGCTCCCGGTCCGCGAGGACGCATGCTCTCTCCAAACCTCGAAGCGAGCATCCTCTCCCAAGTCCTCAACCAAGAACCTCTCGGTAAGGCAATGCTCTGGCGCCAAGCAGAAGACTTCCGGATCAACGACGGCAACGAGGGCAGATCGCGATGGATCGCGCTCGGAGCCGAAGTCTTCGATATCACAAGTAAGCCTCCCCTCGCCCCCTCTTTCTCACGGCACCTCGACTTACACAAAACGTAGACTTGAACCTCTCCCCGGACCACTACACCTTCCAACACATCCTCTCCCGCACCCGAAACCCCGTCGACGCAATCGACGCCGGCTTCCACCCAGACCTGATCCGCGCCAACCTCCTCCCGTATAAGATCGGCTGGCTGCGCGACGAGAGCGCCGCCGGCCCGCGGCGGAGGGACCGCGTGTTCACGCCCACCGAGGTGAAGTGGTTCGCGGCCCGCGAGACGGGGATGTACGTCGTCATCAACGGCAGCGTATACGATTTCACAGGTAATGTTATCAAGATATGCGAGATACAGAGCAGGGCTGACTCGGGGCAGGATACTGCGACATGCACCCCGGCGGCGCGTCCCTCATCTCCCATCTCGCCGGCCAAGACGCCACTGAGGCATGGAGGCAGGCCCACGGGCAGGGCGGATCTGTCTCCGGGGTGGATGTGCATGCAGCGCTGGAGGAGTTGAGGATCGGAAGCGTCGTGCCGGAGCAGTCGGCGTCCAAACCGCTCTCGTCGTCCCAGATCCGGATTCGGGACTGTGTTTTCGGGCGGGAAAGTGAGTTCCATCATGCCCTTTGCGTTGTTTGAATACTGACAACTACAATTTGCAGAAATCAAGCCCGAGCAGACCCAGGCACTCAACGACTTAGAACCATACTGGGGCACAGATTGCACACCACACCTCGAGGCACAGAGCCCGCACTGGGTATTGACCAAGCTGTATGACACGCGTGACTTCATCGTCGCCAAGATCGCAGCACGCCCTGAAGACTTTCCCATGACGCAACAGACCTTGCGAGAGTTCGACGGCAAAGAGACAGATCTAGGTTTCCGCGAGGCGCACGTGTCTGACGGGACGTCCATCTACAACATGACCTGTACACATCTCCCAACCCACTCACGCCTTGAATCCCGTCACTGACATACCACAGCGTTCATCAGATACACCTCTCCATCACCACTCACCGCATCCCTCCTTACCCGCGCCGGCACAACCCTGACCTCGTCCCCCGAGGACACCGAGTTGCGAACATGGCTACAAACCTCCTGCCGCCACCGTATCATCGCATCCCACGACCACCGACAACCCAACCCGGGCACCAGCCAGCCCCGCTGGAAGACCGACGTCCAAAGCGTCCCCCGCGCCCCAGCCCCCGGCCACTTCCCCAAAGTCATCAAAGCAGCTAAGGTCGAGATGAACTGGGCGAGGGCACTGCAGGGCGACGCGGCGTCTCCCGGTCCGAAGAGCGACGTCAGGCCGACGCAGGCGTCTACAAAGACGCGGGCGGGAGGGGGTACAAGAGGAGGGTTTGGTGGCGCGGGTGGGAAAGGCAGAGTTGAGGCGATCGAGCTTCCTTTGTTGAACCAAAAACCGCAATCGGTGGATGGGGATGTTGTCATGGAGGACGTACAACCTGACGGGTGGACCGTCGTTGGGAAAAAGGGCCGCAGGCGGACTCGGAAAAGACGCTGAAAACCACTGTTCTTGGGCGTTGCACAATGTTTGCTTTTCAGAAACAAAGACGCAGATGGCAATGTATGTGAGCATACAAGCCTAACCGAAGACAATGTGAGGCGATGTTGACTCGGCCAAATGCAACCAGGGGAACTCGAATGCAAGCACGTAAATAGCCACCGCAGACAGAGGATCGACAATAAGAAGCACGACTAGGAACACTCACTGTCGAGGGCCGCATGGTAAAGGGAGGACGGGGACTGTCCTCGCGCTTGCGGTACACCAAACCTGAGGCATCAACAGAGAATCCATAGACCACAGACAGCATCACCAGCACATCACTTCAAAGGGACCATTGTGAAATGTCTATGGCATGTATTGCCGTCTATTTACTCTTTCTACCTCTTATTCTACCCCACATTCCCTGTCGCCAGGAACCTCTCTCCTCGCCTGCAGGATCCTCCAATCCTGGAGCGAGATGGTCATTCCTTCATCCGGCGATTCATGTCAAAGGGGAATCTCATGGGTGCTCGTCAAAAGAAATCATAAACAGGCCCGTAACCATGCAACCCGCGTTACCGAAAGGACTTTTGGAAGGCTCGTGACAAATGGAAAGGAAAGCGACCGTGACGAGTTGGTTTAGATGTCGTCCTCGTCGGAGAAGACCTCCTCACCACGCTTGCGGCGGGCCATACGCTCTGCGACATAGTTAGCTTCTGAAGTCATGAGTCAAGTAATGGCTGGGATGAACATACCCTTCTTCTTCTTACGGGCCTCGGAAGAAGTCAACTTAACCTTCTTCTTGGTGTTGACAATCTTGTTACCCATAGCGTCGAACTTCTCCTCCTCATCACCGTCATCAGCCTTGAGACGGGGACCGCCACCCTGGCCCTGGACCCAGTTGTGGCCGGAAGGAGTCATCTTGCCGTCCATGACAGCCCAAACCTCCTCAGTCAAGTCCTTGGTGAACTCGGCAGAGTGAGTGATGATGATGACACCACCCTCGAAGGCCTTGAGGGCCTTGGACAGGGCACCGAGAGAGTCACGGTCCAAGTAGTTGGTAGGCTCGTCAAGAACGATCAAGTGGGGACGCTGCCAAGAGCAAGCGGCAAGGACGACCTTGACACGCTGGCCACCAGACAGACCACGCATGCGAGAGTGGGAAACCAGCTCAGCATCGAGACCGAAGTTGGCGCAGTGAGACTCAATCTCCTTACGGACCAGGGGACGGAACTGACCGGAGGCGAGGGCCTCCTTCATATCGACATCGGCAACCATCTTCTGGTGAGAAGCCAGAAGCTCGGAACGGGGCAGCCAGGCGTTGTCAGCGGACATCATGGGGGTCCAGCGCTCGTTCTTCTGGCCGACGTTGTCACCAATGGCGAAAGAGCACTCGTACTCGTAGGAGTTCTTGAACTTTCTGCGAGAGTTGATGCCGATAATGCGACGCTGGGTACCCTCGATCTTGAAGATCTTGTTCATGGCCTCCTCATCGGCCTCGGTGATGACCTTGTTGGCACGATCCATGGTCTCACGATCCTCACCAGTCTGGAAACGCCACTGGATGTACTCAGAGGGAGTGGAGTCGAGGTGGTTATCGATGTGAGCGAAAGCGTGCTGCTTGATGTAGGCGATACGGATGTTCTCGTGCTGGTAGATCTCACCCTCGGTAGGGATAAGCTCACCGGTGAGAACGTTGATGAGGGTGGACTTGCCGGCACCGTTGGGGCCAATGACGGCAATACGGGAACCGAGAGAGCACTGGAAGGTGATGTCGGAGATCTGGGGCTTGCTGGTACCGGGGTACTGGAAGGACATCTTGCTGGCACGGAGAATGGCCTTGGCCTTGGTCTTGACACCCTCGAGGAAACCGGGCTCGGGGAAGCGGAACTCCATCTCGGAGGCACCGAGCTCGTAGTAGGACTTGGCCTGGGGGTTCTTCTTGACGAACTCGGACAGGTTGCCACGGTAGCGCTTGAGCTTGAAGCGCTCGTAGTGGATGATGTGCTGGCAGACGTTGTCGAGGAAGCCGGAGTCGTGGGAGACGATGATGGAAGTGCAGGGGGAGGTGCAGAGGTACTCCTCGAGCCACTTGACGTTCTTCACGTCCAAGTGGTTGGTAGGCTCGTCGAGAAGCAGGATATCAGGGGCCTCGAAGACGGCACGGCACAGAGCGAGCTTCATCTTCCAACCACCAGAGAGGGCAGAGATCTCACCCTTAACCATGGTGTCGGTGAAGCCGAACTCGTTCAGCTTGGCCTCGACCTCGGCCTGGGCGGTCTCGACGCCGGCAGCCTTGAGCTTCATCATGGTCCAGTCGATGGTGGTCATCTCAGTGTCAGCAGAGTCAAGGTCGTGCTCAACGAAGACGGTCTTGACCTCGGACTGCTTGGGGAAGCCCTCGACCTGCTCGTTGTTGATGGCACGCATGAGAGTAGACTTGCCGGAACCGTTGGGACCGCAAAGACCGTAGCGCTGGCCACGCTTGAGACGGAGGTGGGTCTGGTTGAGCAGGATCTTGGCACCGTAGGCGAGAGAGAAGGTGCAGTTGCAAAGGTCCTCACCCTCCTCGTCGTCGGCATCACCCTCGGCCTCCTCGGCAGCGCCGGGGGAAGCCTTCTTGCGGAGGTCGTCAGTGACCTTCTGGGCGTCCTCGTCGCCAACAATGACGGCGATGTAAGGCTTGAGGGCCTCGGCCCAGACCTGGGACTCCTGCTCCTTCTCGTCGATGAGCTGGCCGGCAATGGCGGCAGCATACTCAAGGACGATCTCGAGCTTCTCAGCCTTGGCCTTGTGCTTGGCGGGGATGACCTCCTTGAGCTTGGGGAGGACAACCTTGACGTCAGAGTCGCGCTTGACCTCGGGGATCTTGCCGTCAACGACGTTACCGACACGGATGAGGGTGTCGAGGGCCTGGCGAGTCTTCTCACGAGCCTCGGGGTCGGCCAAGTTGTCGTGGTTCTTCTCAAGACCGGGCATCATCTTGGGCAAGAAAGGAGCAACGATGTTGGGGTCGTCGACGAGCTTGCACATGTTGTCGACAATGACGGCGGACTTACGCTTGATGGCAGTCTCACGCTCGGCGAGACCACGGTCAAGGAGGGGAACCATGAGGGCAAGAGTGGGCTCCTGGACCTCAGTGACGAAGGTGGTGGCACCGAGCAAGTGAACGGTCTCGGGGACGTTCTCGGGCTTGGCGATACACTTGATAAGCTCGGGGATGAAGCGCTCGATATCCTTGTTGACGATGAGCTGGCAGATGAGCTCCATGGTCTTGTAGGCACGCTCCTTGACCTCCTTCTTGGTGTCCCACATGGACTCGGAGACGACGGGGATGAGGTCGGGGACGCGGAAAGCGACCTGGGCGGGGGCGGTGCGGACGACGGTCTCGAGGACGTCGAGGGCAGCCATCTTCTCCTGCCACTTCTGGGCGGTCAGGAGGGAGTTGCAGACGGGGTCGAAGACACCCTTGACGGCGTTGGGGTTGATGGCCTCGGCGATGGCCAGGGCAGCAGCCTGGGCGGCATTCTTGACACCGGTGATCTTGTCACCAACGGCGGCGAGGACGTTGGGGAGGAGGGCGACAAGGAAGGGTTCGACGTGGGCGGAGACCTCGGAGTGCTGGGCAATGGCGGCGATGGCAAGGGCGGCCTTCTCACGGGCAGCGGCATCCTTCTTGTTGTTGAACAGCTTGCGGATGGCCTCGATGCTCCTGCGGGGTAATCCATGTCAGTTCTGATGCTCCAGAAAAATTTTGTGTGTGCACCGAAAATAGCTCGCCGCTGAGTGGCCAGGGGGACAGCCAACTTGCAGATGCTGGCGGGTCGGTGCAAAGGCCGCCCGAGACGAGGCGAAAAAAATAAGCACGCAGGAAAAAAAAATCTGAAAAAGTTGGAGAAGGGTCCCAAGGCCGCGGACACGGTGGCTTGGGTCGCATCTGCCACTCTTTTCCGACTCTTCTGGTGCCGCCGCTTCATCGCCGTGGTGTGTAGAGAACGGAATCGGGAATCAAGGGGCAGAAAAACTCACTTGGTGGGAACATCCTGGTCCTCGATGCGGCCATTCATGAAGGAAGCCAGGGCGCTGGCAGACTCCTTGACGTCGGCAGCCTCCTTGGAGACGGTGAGCTTCTGGAAGAGCTCGTCAAGAACCTTGACGGACTGGGCGTTCTCGGAAGACATTATGGCGGTTGTTGTTGGGGTATTAATCTCGATCGGGGTGATGTCGAAATTTAACGTGAAAGAATCGCAGATCCGAACGTCTAAAGCGTCTAGATGCGAAGTCTATGCTCTATCGTATAACCGAAAGGCGAGTTCTGGGTATTGGGAAGGCCCGCGGGAAGAGACGACGACTGGAGGATCGTCGGAAACTTCTGCTCAAGATGGCGCTTCGGTCGCTGTTGTTTCTTCTTGCGAAGGCGGGGGTTGATCAGGGCAGCAAAGCTCTTGACAACCGTCGCAGACAGTGACGATATTTTGTGGAAAAGAAAGTCAAAGGACTGAGTGGAGATACGTCTGGAGGAAGACGAGCAATCCAGGAGAGGAAGAAAAGGGAACGGAGGTAGAGAGAGGTTCGAGAGAGGAAGAGGAGGGAAAAATGTTCGGGAGGGGGGAGAAGATGGCGGGGGGACGAGTTTTTTTTATCTGCAATCGCTTTTTTGGCTTGTGTTATCGCTCTTGCCCCCTCCTCCCCCTCCATTCCCACTGAAAGAGGGCCACTCGAGGCCACTCAGGCGGGCCCATGGGTGTCCCCTCGCAGGTGTGGCAGGTCCAGCGTCGCCTCAGTTGGCTTGGGCTGGTCGGGTCTGGTCTGGCTGCCTGCCTGCCACATTCACTCGCCGCCTTCCCACCAAAAAAGTTTTTTTATTTTATTTTTCCCGGGCGACCTGAGGCACTGCCTTGGTCCTTCCGCCTGCTGGTGCACTCTTTCTGAGAGTCCTGGCCCGGCGACGGCGACGCTAGCGGCAAGGGTAGCCCCACACCTCAGAAAAATCAGAAACTGCGGAAACCAGGAGCGGT